TAATAATGTTTAAAAAAAGCCGGCTTTCGCCGGCTTTTTTTATGCCCATCCGTGTTTATTGACCTCTTTCCCAACCATTTAACAGATATCGTTGTCTTTAATGATATAGATAAGCTCAACCGGCTGAAACCCAAGCCAGATGAGGGATAGAATCTTATGAGATACTTGACTTTTTAAAAGATTGCATTATCTTAGCAAAGCTATTGTTAAAGTTAGCACACCAATCCTGTCCATTTTTTAACCGAACCGTAGTAAAAGAAACTATGCCGACATTTACGCTGAAAAAAAATATTTTCTTTCCTGTTTTATTGCTCTCTTTTTTTTCTGTTAAGGCTCAGGAGAAAAAGCAAGCTGATGTAGTAGCCGGAAAGCTGAATTTTACTTCTTTCACTTCCGGGAATCGGCAGATGGATAAGACGTGGACAAAACTGAATGAGCCGTATCAAAATCACCCCGATGCCACTAATCGTCCCAAGGTAAGTGATGTACCAGGAATGGTGGAATTGTTTGCTGAGCGTACAGAGAAGACAAAATATTTTATCAACCCGTCAAAACCCTCCGAATTTGTTAAAGAGCAAAGTTCTGATGCGATCCACTATCAAAAAGACGGTCAATGGATTACAATAGATACCCGGTTGAAACAACAATCCGGTACCGTTATTGAAGCCGCCCAACAAGCAGAACCAGTAGGTTTTGATGTACAACGGAAAGCTTCCTATATCAAAGCCATTGGCGGAACGATTTACTTTAATCAATGGAGCCTGTATGGTGAGAAAAATGGTGTGACAACCAAACTCGCATCAGCCAATTGGTCGGACTATACTGCCGGCGATGATGGTATTTATGTGAACAATATATTCCCAGGCATTGATGCCGTCATGTTTGCGCGTAAAGGTGCCATGAAAACAAACTTTATTGTAAATAATAATCAGTTCCCGGGTTACAGCGTGTTGAAATTCAAAGACATTTTTGACGCCAATGGTACCGGAAGTTTTTCATTTATAAATGCAGGAAGTAATAATCCCCAGGTTGGTGATGCCCGTTTTAAAGTAGGCGATAGAGAAATATTGCGTATTAATAAGGGCATCATGTACACACAAACAAGCCCGGCTGCCAATAGTGCATTTCAGGATGTAAAGTATGCGCTGTCTGGTAATAGCATGGCCCTGTTGGTAGATGCCGGCTTTATTAACCGTCAACTGGCACATGGCAAAGTGGTGATAGATCCTATGGTGCAAACCGTTTCAACATTGGCGCAAGCTACTATTACTGGGTCCATGAACTGTGGTTCCAGGTCCAATAGCTGTAACTATACCCTGAATGTGACTCCCCCTGCCGGCGCAACCATTACATCCGTACAAATGATGTTCCAGATGCAGGTAAATGCACCACTTGTCCTGGATCAGGCCCGGTTTGCAGTAGGCGCGGGGGCTTGCCTGACAGATACTATTTATGCAAGGGGCTCCACGCTTTTAGCGCCTGGTCGGGTGTACACTCCTGATGACTCCATTACTGCTGTGGACCCTACATATACATTGCCTGGCTTTTGGGCCGCTTACAGCCCGGTGCTATTACCATGTATGCCTGCCGGCACTTGTCCACCGCCTGTTATACCATTTACTTTAAGGTTCTGGAATACTTATTGCGGCGGCGGAACGGGTTGCAGCAATACCTATGTGTATTCAGATCCTATCGGTTTTAGTATCCGTATCAGAGGTAATACCCTTGAAGCGCCAAGAATTACACGTACTTCAAACGTACCTATCTGCCAGGGAGATTCTGTAAGATTGGGACGGACAGCCACTTTTGGAGTAGGACCTTATAGATACAGCTGGTTGCCAGGTGGAGAAACCACACCATCTATCACCGTAAGGCCAATGACTACGACCAGGTATACATCTATCGTAACCGATTCCTGCGGTAACTCCATAACTGATACCACCACTGTTGTCGTAATCACACAAGGTAATGCGCCTGCAGTTGTATCACCGCAAACCGTTTGCCAGTATAGCAATATACCGCTTACCGCTGGCGGCACCAATCTGAGATGGTGGCCGACCGCTACAGGTGGTCTGGCATCATTCGTTGCACCCGTACCACCTAATGTACCCGGCACCTATACCTACTATGTTTCTTCTGTAACGCAATGTGGTGAAACACCCCGCGCACAAATAACAGTAACCGTTATTCCAAAGCCGGCACCGCCAACCGTAGTATCACCTGTGAGTGTGTGCCAGTACCTGCCAGTTCAGTTGACTGCAAACGGACAAAATCTGAAATGGTATCAAACGGAAACAGGTGGTGTTGGTCAGCCGACCATGATCCCGAATACTAACTACGTAGACTCTACTTATTACTACGTTACACAAACGATCAATGGTTGTGAAAGTGACCGCGCAAGGATCCGCTTTAATGTAAACTACAAGCCTTATGGTATTGTGCTTACTTCAAAGCTGTTTGTCTGCGAAGGAGATACTGCCACCTTTAATTATTATGGT